ATAAAACTAAAGAATTAAGCACACAAATATATTTTATTTCACAACAACAGTCAGCTATTAAACTACATTTAAAGTTGCTACTGTCTTTGAAAATATTTATACTTTTTTTGCATTTTAGCTGTTTTTTTTATTGTTGCTTGTTTTGTTTAGGGAGTTCAGTTTTTTGTGTTAAATAGGGATGGGGCCGATCCGATCCAGTATCGATATTGGCCTCCGATACCAGCATATTTTACGTATCGGATTTTCCGATCCACTTGCCGATATTTCCGATCCATGATGCATGTTGGCTTCAAACTATGGAATGGATTTCCTGAACGGCGGCGTGTCTCATGAACCCAGAGTAATAAGACCCGCCTCACATTCAGGAAATCCAGTTCATAGTTTGCAGCCTGCTACAACGTGAGGGCTGAGTTAGCAGCACTGTGACTAATAGCTAACCAACTTTTCATCTAAACATGTCCACTGTGTGGAAGTATTTTACACTAGAAACACCACAAAACAAGACAGCATCATGCAATGTCTGCAGAGCCATATTGCCACATTAAACCGCGGTAAAGTTAGTTTTACGATGGACATTCGAGCTCCGTGGCTTCAGCGGGGCACTACTCTTTGCTCAACCGAAAGAGGCGACTTGACCCCGGCCAGCCGCGTCCAATCTGCCCCGCTCAGTCTGCCCATCTCTGAGGAGGGACAGACTGAGCGCGGTTGCCCCAAATCAGGCTGCCTGCTTCGGATTGAACAAGAAGAAGACATTGTTGAAACCACGGAGCTCAAATGTTTTTTTCATTCAACCTTTATTTAGACAGGTAATCCCATTGAGCCTCAAGGACTCATTTACAAGAGAGACCTGATACATAGATCTGTTTACAGAGAAGTTGCTAAACTTCATCATAATTAATGACCAACCACTATCAGTTGTAGAAAACAAAGGATTTCACAGCTTGATACTTGCAGCCAAGATATAGTTTACCCTCCAGGAGATATTTATCAGTACAACAGTAGACAATCATAAAAAACATATGATTTGAAAATTATATATATTAAAAACATAAACAGCTACATTATAAAGTGATGTAAAATACTAAAAACAGGAACATGTCTGTTGGTTTATGCCATGAACTTAGCAGATGTTTGAAGCCATTTAACATTTCATTTAATTTAATTCATTTATTCATTCATTTAAATGAAACAAAATTTAAAAAAATCATCAAAAAGAAAACAATGAATGAAAAGAGTGCAGAAAGAAGAAATAATTCTTATATCCGCCCCTTATAAAATATAAAACAACTTTAAACAATCACTTAAATTAATCACTTTAATATCCACTTTAAAACTAGGACAAAAAAGAAACATGTTTTGTGTTAGCAGAATTTAATTCTAACTTTAAAACTTATCCAATATTAATAAAACTTACCTCAAGTTGCCTTTTTGGACATGCATGCAAATATTTGTACAAATTGTACTTGAGAGGAGATTATTACAGCCTCATATAAAATCAATGATGATGATGATATCAGAACTGGATCGGCATCGGCCGATACTCATATCTAGGTATCGGGATCGGATTGGAAGTAAAAAAAGTGGATCGGTGCATCCCTAGTGTTAAATGATGGTACAAAGTGATTTCCAATTAAGAAATAAATGAAGTGCTAGTGCAGCACGGTGGCGCAACTGGCAGAGCTGCTGCCTCTCAGCGAGCAGGTCCCTGGTTCAAACCCCGGTCCAGGGGCCTTTCTGGGTGGAGTTTGCATGTTCTCTCCGTGCATGCGTGGGTTTTCTCCGGGTACTCCAGTTTCCTCCCACAGACCAGAAACATGCATGTTAGGCTGATTGGTAACTCTAAATTGTCCCTAGGTGTGAGTGAGAGAGTGAATTGTTGTTTGTCTTGTTTGTCTCTATGTGGCCCTGTGATGGACTTGCGACCCGTCCAGGGTATACCTCGCCCCTCGCGCAGTGATTGCTGGACATGGGCACCAGCGACCCCCGTGACCCAAAATGGAACAAACGGGTAAAGATAATAGATGGATGGATGGATGAACTGCTAGTTTCTATGACCCTGCAAAAGAAGCCATTAAATTATCATTGACCATTATAGCAGTAAACCCACTGTCTGTTGCAGTCAGCCTCCCCACCATCACAGACATCTACACCTCCAGATGCAGGAAGAGAGCCACCTGCATCATGAAGGACCCCACTCACCCAGCACACACACTTTTTGCCTTTTTCCCCTCAAGAAGGAGGTTAAGGAGCATTAAGTGTATAACTACTAGACTGAGGAACAGCTTCTACCCCGAGGCTGTTAGACTCATGAATCTCTAACCAGGATAATCACTGTGAAACAATCACATCATGTTGCTGCTGATCTGTTTCATGTTGCTGTGTTCATTCGTACTCATCAGCTAACACACATGTACCACATGTGGTGTGAATGACAAATAAAGAAACTCTGACTTAATTTTCACTAAAACCAACAGTCCAAAGAGTAATTTCATGTGGAAAGACAAATCCAGTAATCAGCTTCATAAATGTGCTGTGAAAAAGTGATTGGTTTCAGGAACATTAAACGTCCAAATTAAAATACTTTACTGTCTATTCTTTTTTTTCTATTTTATTGTTGTGCTGCAGTTTGGTGTTATAAATTGCTCAGATTAAATGCCTAGTAGTCCATGAAGGACTGCGTTCATGCAGGAGTTTTAAACCACGATCCTCTTGTGTTAGGAAATGCTGGAGATGGTGCAAGCTTCCCTCTTTTACCTCCAAATGTAGCGATTGTCATTGTTAGTTGTACCAATATTGGTCAAAATATTGGAATTTATTAATAATCAGTCTCATAAATCAAGAATCAAAATGTGAGTTCTTCTCTCATGGTTAAATCTAAACTTTTATAATAAACACACAGGTTCAATTGGTAAGATTTTGTGACTTATTTTCAGTATATGGGCAATAATAAACAGTGAAAATATATTAATATAATATAGTAATATGTATAATACTGGAAAGAAAAACATACAATTATGAGAAAGGAAGTAATGATATTAAAACTTTGAGGCAAATGAAGACCGGACTGATTAAAATAAGGAAAAGAAAATTTGAATCCTGTTACTTTTCAAGGGTTCATTAAGATGGGCTGTTTCTAAATTTTGGACCACCAGAATGAAAAGGGTTTGTCTACTGAGAGATGAACGTCAGTCTCTACATGAGTCCAGGGCAGGTGCGTTGACCCATCAGAGTTACCTTGGAGGTTGGTATTTTCCCCAAGCTGGCCCGGCAGTTGTTTTGGAAAGACAGATGTCTCTCCTTCTTATGCTACTGGCTCTGTAGTAAACTGGACATAGGATTCTCCGTAGAACATTTCAGGTTTCAACTTTGGTTCTGGTGGTCAGGTGCAATACTAGTTATGAATTTATGCTGGTCTGGTTATGGGACATGGTATTCATTAAAACCTCATTTTCCTTTGACTTCTTTCATTTTAAACTATCTTAAAACTTTCTAAAAAAAAACTTTTTCTGAAACTTTAAAGTGAAAATTTTCTCCATCTCTTTCCTTCTTTTTCTTTCAGACTCCCAACTGCCAAGTTTCTCCCTACTTCACTCACCATTTGCATAAATGGTTTCCCACTGGCTTACTTTAGAGTAGGCATTTAATTTTTAGATCCTTCATCCAATCACACAGCTGTTTCAAAAGGAGGTGGGTTTTAACTTTTAAAGCTGCATCTAAACTTTTACTCAGAGCGAGAGTTTGATTTAAACTTGTTTTTGTCTCATCTTTTGCCTCAAAGTTTCAACAATTAAAACCTTTATAACGAATTACATTCCTTATCTATAATGAAATTTAGCTTTCACTACACAAAGAAAGGAATTAAAGACACTTTTCATTAAGGCATATAAGCATAAAAACAATATGAGATGTTTTGATCAACAGACCTTTAAACATAATATTTGTCTTTGTACGTTTCAACAATGAAATTGCCAGCTGAAAAGAAAGAAACAAGTTATCATGGCATTTTTCAGGAGAAAAGTTAACAGGCATGGTTATTCAGAGACATTCTTAAAACTGTAATCAGATTACACTGCATTTGTTATAAGCAACAGGGATTTCATTTTAAGCTGGTGCAGATATACAGTATAAATCTTCAGATAAGCTTAAACTGTGTCACTTTTATGGCATCCAGAGAAAAAAACAGAACTCGTGGGGATTAGCACAGGAATTCCAGGTCTCTTTCCTAAGGACAAAGGAATATTCTTTCTTAGTTCTTCATCTTTTGAGAGTCCCAGAGTGATGATTAAAGAATATTCAGATAAAAAGTCCAATGTATGACTCTAGATTTCCCCCACTTGTAATTTACAACCCGATTCCATGGTTGGTGAATCACAACCAACAGTGTCTATGAATCAGACGTATTCCAACGAATGTTGAGGTAGGTTTTGAAAAGTCAAATTTGTTAATTTCAAGAAAAGAAAAAGAAAAGTATTTTTAAAAGTAAAAAATTCCATACAAATTCAAATAATTCCATGAAAAGAAAAATCAAGGATATTTCTTACAAAGTCTAAAGGGATAATTCCATTTGACATTAATATGTAGACGTCCCGTTGGACACTGAACGGCGTTCCTACGTCGGCGCCATCTTGGTGGTGTTAGAAGGAAAACGGAGACAGTAAAATGCCTCATACGTGTGCTGCTTGTAATTGTTATAACCGTTTAGGTATCCAAACCAAACTGATTGGAATTACCTTTCACAGGTAAGTAAGTCTCTTGATCGTTTTTCAGCCATAGTCTGCATAATTTTCACCATAATAACAGTGTTTTTGAAGTGTACTTATCAATGTTGTGAAAAATGGATTCCTGTACAGAATTCATTTATTCGTTTAATTTTCATTCATTCATTCAACCTGGTATTTAATTTAATTATTTTTTTATTTATTTAGAAGTTTATTCATTTCATTAAAACAAAAATAACTATATAC